ATTGTGCACATATTTGTTTGGTCTTGAGAAAACTCATTTCAGTCTAACCCGAAATAAATATAAGATTTATTCACTAAGTTTTGAACTTAGTTTAAGATGCTTAACATATCGTGAAACATATAAAGTTATATTCGTTTAGATAAGACCTACTGTCATGATTCGTATTTAAAGTTTCTAGTTATATTTGTGATGGTTTGAGTGGACCAAGTGGGATAATATTAGTTTAATAGTCTATTTAACTAATTAAAGTTAAGCTTAATATTTAATTTATATATATATATGTATATATATATCCATTGGATTATTTTTAAATTAATTTGACTATCTAAACTAACCTTAAATTGTGTTCTTTCTCCCATTAAGTCCATTATGTTGAGAATTTATGTGAGAAGTGGGAAAAAACCGTGATGGGCGGTTTTCTTTTTTATTAATATATATTTTCTCTTACGGATTACTAAACCTACTCTAAAAGAAAAAAGAATACACCATTGATATTGAGAGCGAGGGTTTGGCAGCATCTTCCATGAGTTTTTACTGGTTTCTCGAAGAAGGAGATTCAAAATTCTGATTCGATTTGCAGCAATGGAGGGAGGCTATTATAATTATTATATGTATTTCTGATGATTTATTTGATTTAAGCATTTCATAGTTCAATGTTTAAATCGACATGCAGAAATTTAAGTTTTGCGATTTAAGCATGTTCATAGTTCAATGTTTAAATCGACATGTAGAAATTTAATTTTTGCTAACATACGATACAATCAAAATATGCTAACTTCTTCGGTCGGGGGTTTACCCAATTGCGCACTTTCGGGTAGCAACTGTGGGTTTTCACGTCATCAAAAAATAATAAGATATATGCTAACTTCATTTATTAAAAATATTAAATCTTAGTCGGAAATGGTTCGTTCAGTTTGTGTTGTTTTGGTCACATGATTTTTAAGAAATCTTATAAAAAAAAAATACAATATGTTCAGACACCACTACAAGAAATTATCAATTTTGTAACGAGATTTTTTTCTTTCCTAAATTCACTTTTTCCGTTAGTAATGATATTAGAGATGGAATTAGAGATGGAATTACGTTAGCTACGTGAACTTTAGAAATGGAATTCCGTTAAAAATATACTATTTTTTTTTTAGTGCACATTAACATATATATATATATATATATGTGTGTCTTGTCTATTCACAAGAAATAAACAACTCAAAACAATATTAATAATAATAATAATATATTTTTAGAGAAAATTTTAAAAAATTAAATAATACAAAGGTAAAAAATAATAAATTTCCCAACAAATACTCTTTTCTTTCCGTGGTAAATTTTTTGTTTGGCTTTGCATATGGATTAAGAAAAAATAGTATTTATAAATATGTAATGTAATAAAATAATATAATGTTCATTTTATCATTAAAAATCAATATGAAAAGTGACAAATTAAGGTATTTAGTTGAAAGTTACTGTTTAAAAAATAAAAAAATTTGATTTGGACATACTAAAATAAAAATAAAAAGTTTGCTAGTGAATGAAGGGAGTATATGCCAAGGAGAAATAAGAGAGTAATTATATACTCTTTTCATCTCATTTCAAATAATACATGTTTTTTGTTTGTTCTATTTAGTAAATTTTATCAAGTATAAATATACTTAACATATTTAATAAATATTAATCAAACTTAATTAAATTCATAACATATAACATTTTACATCACGAACCACTTAAAATCTTTGTTTTCATTTTTCTATTTAATAAACAAATGTTTTTACCTATATTTGAAACTCTTCATTTTTATAAAATTAATTTATCCTAACTATAAATAAATAAATATATTTGTTTATTTATTTGTATTATATAAATTTCATTTTTTAAAAAATATCTATATAACATATATTTTACAGTGATATAATATTTAAAATATTTAAAAATATATTTTAAATTTATTTTAATCATATATATTAATTTTTATTTTAAAATTATCAATAATATTACTTATATAAAAAATAATAAAATAATACTCCCTACGTCCACTTACTATGTACACATTTACTTTTACCGCGATGTTTAAGAAATAATAATATTTTAATTATAGTGGGTAGTTAAAAACAGTGTAATGACATTTTTGCCTTTGCTTTTTCATGTAAAAGTAATATGATGTAAAGTAAGGGTATTTGTGAAAAAAAAAAAAGTAAAGTATTTAATTAAATGTATGTTTTGTAATTTGACGTCCCAAAATAAAAATATGTATACTTTCTAGCAGGACGGAGGGATTATTATAATTTACTATTAAGGTAAACTATTTTTTTAGTCTCGTAACTAGACCATTTTTTTATCATTTTATTCTCGTAATTGGATGTTGTCTTAAAATAATCTTGTAACTGAAAAATTTTCTCAATTTAGTCTTTAATGCCTATGTGTCATTTGCGTGGCATGCTGGCGGACACGTGCCAGCCAAATCATCGCCACGTGGCTAAAACGTGTCCGCCACGTGGATAATTTTATTTTAAAATAAAAAATATAATTAAAAATATAAAATATATAAATATAAAATATAAAAATTAAAAAATAAAACTTATCCATGTGTCCGTCAGGTTCACGCTACGTGGCCGCTACGTAGATAATTTATATTTTTAAATTTTATTTTTTTAATATAAAATAAATTTAAAATATAAAAAATCAATAAAAATATAAAAAAAATTATCCACATGTCCGTCAGGTCAGCGTCATGTGGATAATTTTATTTTAAATAAAAAATTAAATTAAAAATTTAAATATAAAAATTTAAATAAAAAAATAAAAAAATAAAAATAAAACTTATCCACATGTCTGTCGGGTTCACGTCATGTGGTCGCTATGTGGATAATTTATATTTTTTAATTTTATTTTTTAAATATAAAATAAATTTAAAATATATAATATATAAAAGATAAAATAAAAAATAAATAAATAAATATCCACATGTCGTCAGGTCAGCGCCACGTGGCCGCTACATGGATAATTTATACTTTTTATATTAAAAATAAAAAATAAAAAATAAAAATATAATTAACAAACATACTAATATATAAATTATTAAAGATCATGTAGTTTGACTCGATCGGTAGATATGTGGATATTTTTTATTTTATTTGTTTTAATTTTAATTTTATTTTTATTTTTAACTTTTATCTATATTAAAAAATAAAATTAAAAAAAATAAAAAATTGTCCACGTGGCAGACACGTGTCGGCCAGATGACGTTGATATGGTCGACACGTGTCCGCCAGCATGCCACATAAGCATCAAACTAAATTGAGAAAAAATTTCACTTAGGAGAATATTTTAAAATAATCTCCAATTACATAACTAAAATAATAAAAGAATCCGTTAAGAGAAGTTTATGCTTTATTATTCTTAACTAATTAGAATTTGTTACCCATCACTGATAAAAAGAGCCATTTCAAATGGAGAAGGGAGTAATAAACGGTACTCAAATGAATATTAAAGGACAAATAAGCCCATGAAATAGAAATAGACAATTATATCAATAGCTTATTTATTTATGGAGTTGTACGATGAAGGAATAAAAACAAGCATTTTACTTGCAACCTTCGAAATATAAAACAAAACTTAGAGCAAACACAATAGTCAGTAAATAGAAAAACTTAGTCGTACATATTTTAATATTAATCTATAATTATTTTCCCTAATAAACTTTTTAATTATCTATTGATTATACTTTACTTAAATTCTCGTATCTATAGTAATAAGCCCAAAATATCTGGAACGGATGGAGTATTACGTAAACTTTTTACTCAAATATCTTGCAACAAATTACTTTTCATGATTATTTGCTCAGTAGTAAAGAGAAGAAGATCGACGAAGAATGTTTGATACAAAGAAACTTGTGACTCAAGAAAGGAATTTCTCCTATTGGTGTCGGTTGTTGCCGGAGACTGTAGAAGACCGAAGAGAGATTCGACATCACGTATGGAAAAAAAATCGGTGAATTGGGAGAAAAGTTTTGGGCTGAAAAATAAAAAATTTCATAAGAAAAAATTCTGGACAACATCTCGAAAGCCTGAACTACACAAAACTTCTTCCAAGCCCCATTGTCATAATGGCCTTAGAAATGTGTCATTGTATCTCCAACTTTTAATACTTGGGGTAAAAAAGCTTCTATTAATTGGGAGAAAGCTTCGATTTGGTTGTCACTGTGTATGTTCTTAGGAGCTGTAACCTACATTTAAACACTAGTAATTGAAAATAATACTCTTCCGTTTTTATTATGGTCACCATTTTCCTGTAGACATCAAAATTTAGAAGAAATATAATTACTAGACAAATAAGAATGTATTGATTAAAATACTTATTGTATAAAAAAATAATTATAGGTTAAAATTAAAATAATTAATTACTCTAATTATAAATTTAAAAAAAAAATTAAAATTAAATTAAAATATATAATTCTCTTGAAAATGATAAAATAAGTAGACACGAAATAAAGAATGATTGAAGAAAAATAAATGTAATAAAAAATTAATGAAAAGAAAAAATATTATAAAAATCATAACAAGTATAATAAATATCAAATACTCCCACAGTCCAAAAAATATACGTTAATTTATTTATAATTAATATTAATTTAATTTATAATTCTTAAATATGTTTTAATTTAATAACAACTAATAAATAAATAAAAAAATGTCAATTAAGTTAAAACAGAGGAGAGTAGATAATAATAATAATAATAATTAAATATTAAAACTTCAATTTTACTAAAATTAATAATAAGCTAAATCTAACAAATGGACCCAGAAAAAACAACAATAAATAAATAAATTTTCCAGCCGAAGACGATATATAATAATTGGGGGCTTCAAACACAATAATCTTCTCAAACATGCATCAATGGATTCGCAGACACCTAAGCTCAGAATGTAAATTATAGTGCATCAATGGATTCGCAGACACCAATGATCCTGGGAAATTAACAAAAAATATAAAAAACTGTCCTGTCCTAAAAAGAAACTGCAGGCTCTTTGATTTCATTCCATTCCACTTCATGGGCGAACAATACAAAATAGGAAAATCACAGTAATGAAATGACAAAGCATAGAGCATAGCATAGCATAGCAAACCAAACCAAGAAATTCAAGAGCCCATGTAGAAGGAAACAACAAAGTCAGGTTACCAGCGGGCAGCACCTTAGCTTTCTTAGTAGAATAAGCAGGGGGGTCTCCCTGCCTGCCTGTCGGATGTCTGTCTACTCACGGACGAATCAAATCATGATGTGTATTCGAATGGTTGTGGGGGGGCAGGCTCTTCATCCACCGACATTGCTGCCGAGGCTTGTCCAGTAGTTGACCCACCCGCATTTGCAGCTGCTGCTGTTGTTGACGATGGCGCATCCGTCAGAGATAGTTCTTCGGGTTCATTTGGACGCAGATCTTTCAAAAGCACAAAGCCTGAGGGGGCTGCCTTCACTGGAACATATCTGCTCTCCTCAAGAAATTTTATCACCTTCTCTTGCGCTGGCACCACCCTAGCAGGGTTCGTCAATATTTCAAAAGAGGGCTCAGGTTCCACTTTCTTCTCTGCAGCAGCGCTGTCGACCTAGAAACAGAATTCGCATATATCAATTGATTCATCAACCACGGGATTCTTATATTAATTAACTACATACCTGCATCAATTCTGCATCCTTGTCACTTGATTTACCCTTTCCAGAACTCGACTCTGCCTTCTCTGGCGCTGCCTTCTCTGCCTCTTTTTTACTAACTCTGGCCTTAGCCCGGGCGGATGTTGATAAAACAGCTGTGGGCAGTTTAACAGCTGAAGTTGTGGTAGTTACAGTAGTCGGCTTAGGGTACTCAAATAATGATGGCTTCGCATGCGATAGGAAGTTAAACTTTGGCACTTTCAGGTCATAGTTCAAGCCAATGAAGGCAGTCGGGGAAAATGCCAAACTAGCAAAGTATATGAGCGGGTACCAGTACCAAAACTGAGTGAACACAGCAAGACCAACAACTGCAGTAACTTTGTCGTGTTTAGTCTTCGAAAGCAACTTGACAGTCACATTTCGCCCACCGGCATCCAGGATTCCTGATGCTAAGATAGCACCCATCTTGCTCATTGTGTCTTCATGCTTGTCAAGAATAATCTTTTCCAGTTGCCGCCTGAGAATTTTGTAATTATAACCGTAAGAGGATGAAAACAGACACAAATGAAACAAGCCAGGTAGCTTTAATAGACACAACACCTGAATGCACCGACTCTGGAATCGCTGGCTTCGCTGATCTGGACCATCACCATGGCCATGGCAATAAGGGCACCTTGGCGAACAAAGTCCACAACATCTGATGTCAACGGCTCGAGCAATGATATGGCCTCGCTAAGGCCAGTGCCTGCACAAGAAATGCCAACTGCAAGTGCAGCACCATACCGAACATGGGGATTGTATGACTCCGATAAAAGGGAGACAATTCGAGGCGTCTGCATGATAAACACAAGTTCGAATCAACAGGTGCCATGATTAATATAATCCACCGACGCGGTTGACAAAAGTTATGGTCAAAGAGAAAGGGAATTAAAATAAATAATGTAACCAACCTGTTCAGGATCAGAATACAGCACAAAACCTAGAGCAAGAACAGCAGTTCTCCTGACATCATCACTCACATCAGACACAGCAAAGTGAAGCAGCTGACGTATGGCCTTATTGTTTGATGTTCCTCTATATGCCAAGGCCAAAGCATACATGCCGCCATAACGCAGTATAGGATCTTGATCCCGAGTCATTTGCTCAATAAGTGTGTCAGCTTCTTCCTCTCTTCCATAAACTGTCAATGCTATCCCTAAGGCCAACCCCCTGCAGACAGGCCACACAAATAAAGAGCACGACCAAAAAAACAAAAAAGAACTATTAAAAGACAATTGCCAATAGGATCTCTTTCCAACCAATGGCGCAAACCAACTTACCTAATGATCTTCTCATGCTGGGTTTCATGTGCATAAGCAAGCATTTCTCCAGCCTTCTCGGTTGCAGTCCCAACCATAAGCAAACCCATACTAATCCCAGCGGCTTCACCAGCCACAGCACTGTCAGTGTACAATACATTTTTTATGTCATCAAAGACATCCTCATCAGCAGTGCCTAGAGCTGCCAAACCAAGACCAAGGCAAGCACCATGCTGAATAACCTGCACCATTAGTTAACTCACAACATTTAGCTAATGGATAACTATACCGATAAACATCAGGTGTGATAGATAAGTGGTTTCATAAAGAAACTTCTGACCTCAACATTAGTGCTTCTTAAGCTCTCACGCAGAAACTGTTTAATGCCTTCTCCGTGATTTGCATGGATCAAACCAAGTGCATATAATGCTCCGCCTTCAGAGTACGGACTTCCACCACCACCACTACCACCTTGTGGCAAATAAGGTGCCATAAGAGATCTACCCTGCTGCAGGTGACCTCTGTGAATGACGCCAAGTCCCGCAGTGGCACTGAATTTTGCCCAGTTTGTAGCCCTACTAAGCCAGTCCTGAATGAGAAAAGCCAAAAACCAACCATTAACACTAACTGGACAAAAGATGCCAAGAATATCTATGAAACTGAATGGTAGGTTTTTACCAGGTTCTCTCTAAGAAATGTGTCAACAGTTGTACCAGCATGCATGATGGCATTTGCATATATAGTTGCACTGTGGCAAACACTATTTCTCATCTCAACAGACTGCTTTATTGTCTTAAGAATCAGAAGATCCGACCTGTACAAAGATAATATATCAGGCACACATTAAATTAACAGACCGCTTCTGCTGAGACAGAAAAATTTAAGATTAAAATGAAAGAAATATAGACTCACTTATTATGACTGTATAAGAATTGCAATGTCAATTGTATTGAAGTCTCTCCAGACAAGATTCCTTTTATCTTTGTTAACCTCTCAGCATAAACTGCTTCACTTGGATCAATAGTAGTTGAGCTGTTGTTATCTGTTTGAGATCCATCCGTCATTTGAACATCCTCTGAAGGTGCAGCATTTTCACTTGGGGGGGCATTTTGCTGAGCAGGTTCAGATGATTGTACAGGCTCCGAAGGCTGGGACTTGGGACTAGGAAGCCTATCTCTCACCTTCAAAAGGAAAGCTTGTTGTTCGTTCTCCACAAGATCAAAGGCTATTTGAAATGACAACAGAGCATCGTCTACATTGTCAGATCGAAGGAGTTTCTCTAATATGCTAGCAACACTATCTGGTTCGTCTAGAAACATTAGACGCTGACAGATGCTCAAATAATCAGGAGATGGCAGCTGCTGATACACTTTAACAAGAAGTCGAAGCACCTGGAAAATAAGAATAAAATATTCAAATCATTGTAGGGAGATTCAAACAAAACCCAATCAGTAAAAATAGTATTATTTGGAATCTTTACTTCACGTGAATTTTAGGAGGATGACAAACAACCATATAAACTGGTGAAAAAGCCAAGAACCAAAGTCGGTTGCCTAAATAGATAATTTAAAAAATAAATAAATAAAAGAACACAGATAGCATAGCTGACATTTTTTTAACAAAGAAAAAACTTATTAAAGTTGTAAATCACATAGAGATAAATCATGTTCCACTTAAACTAACATCAGCAAATGCTAAACATGAAACATCCTGATCATACTACCCATACACCACAAAAACCTTGAATCATATCAAACCACTCAGATTTTTGAGATTGACAACAATCATTTTTTAGATTAATATTAAAAACAATAGTTTTATAAACAAAAAAAAAAAAAAAGAGGAATGATACAAAAACAAGAGTAAAAAGTTTTCTAATAAAATCAACTATGCAACGGATTGCGAAGAGTGCTGATTCGATCTAAGTAACTAAATTACACCACAATGTTAACAATTGGAAATATAATCAAGCATCTAAGATAAGAACAACAAAATAACATCAATACTACATACACATAAAGTGTTAAATCACTCAACTGACATTGGATTGGATAAATTTATTGGTTCAAAAGTTAAGGGGAAAAAAAAAATTGAAAATGTTGTGCTACTAAAATATTGTGGATTTGCATTAATTGAATGAACTAAATGCAATTGCAACATAGAAACTCGTAACAATGGAAATTTTAGTTCACAAAATGAGAGAATTATATTGGATACAAGATATATGTTTTTTATATACCACTAATAGACAACTGTAGGTAGGTATCAACAATGTATGGTGTACAAGGATTTGACTATTGAAAAACTGACTCTCAAACAATGGAAAGGAAAGTAGATGAAATTCAAAATAAACAAGTATGATTTCAAGAATATAAGGAAAAGGAAAAGGAAAAACAGAAGAAAAAATTAACTCAAGATAAGCCTTGTTATTGTTTGGATAAATATCAAAGACATGCGAGCAAGGTCAGTGATGAATGCTTAGAAAGATACAAGATGGATGATACAGAATTATCCCAGTTTCCTAAACCATTTCAAAAAGCAAGTTCCTAAGCAAACAAATAACCATTGTTTTTCTTTATTTGATTTTATTACCATAATTCATGAACCAAAAGTGTAAACAGGAGTTACAGAAAACTTCAACCGAATACTACTGAATTAAAAGCATTGCTCACTAAAGAAAAACCCATCACATAAAATGAGAATTCATTGATTGAAATAGGATTATAGACTAAAGAGAAGAAGCTAACTAAACTCACCTCACGTCGGTATTCTCTTCGGTTGACAAATGAATGACAGATATCTATGCAATAATTAATTGTAGCATGAACATTATCGCTCCTTATAACTGCTTCCTCAAGCTTATCCAATCGCCTGCACTCAATGGCCATTCCTATGGCTTGTTGATATTTTCCATCCGTTATACATCTGAAAGCAAATGTAACATAAGGAAGCATATAAGCCAGGAAACCACATAACTAGTTTGGTAGCAGAATACTACTTCACATACCTATCAAGCATTCGCTCCACAATTGCTTCAAGTCTAGGGTCAATAACTGCAGCTTCATCATTTGACTCAGCTGACTTAGTTTTGAGGCTGGCGTATTCATCAATTGCTTTAGCTGAGGGGAAAAGGCCAGAAAAAGATGAAGGCATTAGAAGCTCTAAAGCATAAACTGAAAGTTCATTCATATTTCCCACTTTGGGGAGACTAACATAATGAACATGAAAATAATCCTCACCAAGCAGAGTATGAACATAGTCTGAATCCTCGGATACATCAAAGAGAGGCCCAGCTCCAAGTGCATACGACAATGAGTCATTGAGTTCTCCTAAGTAATAGAAAACCTGAACATGGTGCACAAAACAGTTGTTAAAAAACAAATATATACGGGGGATATAGCAGACATACTTAAGCAAGACATCTCTGAGCAGCTGAATATCACTTTGTTGCTTTGGTAATTTTATGGAGGATTGAAATGGGTTAATGAAAATGATTTTATTTCTCCTATTAGATGTTTGTTTCTTTAGCTGCATTGTCAACCCAAACAAGAGCACCTGGGTTGTATATATTAACAGTTGGAAGGAATTGAATATAAGACAGCATAGAGTGAGTAGATTAATGAAAATTGATTATAGTGAAGTATATACCATACATAATTTAGCAAGTAATCATTAGAAACAGTGGATATATTCCATATTCATATGATAAGTGGAATGATGCAGGTTCTCTCACTCTGCAAACACTTCTATACCATACCCTCGTAGAATTCGTCTTAAATAGGATAGCATCACTTTGCTTAGGTGAAAAAGGCACTCAATTTACACACCTCTACTGAATTCATGCTCAATGACATCGGACCCGTATACACAAAAACCCAGCATTTATTCAAGAATACTAAAATTCCATCCAAGGAGACCTAATGCTCTGTTGTAGTTAATACTCACTTCTCAGAGCAAACATTAAAGCAATGAAAAACCCATTATTCAAAATGACAGCAACTGACAAAACAAATTATTATAAAGAACTTTGATGTACAAGCCAGTAAAGCAGATTAGGTAAATTATCTTCACTACCACACAAACCCATTAAATGAAAATAACATAATGTTACTTGTAAGCCAATTAAAAAAGCAAGCAACTAAAAACAAGAAACACAAGAACAGAAATACAAAGTACACTTATTGTTCAATGTAGTTGAAAATAACATTCTTAAGAGACTGATTTCACCTTTGAAACAAGCAAGGCAGCTAAGTGTCTCTGCTCAAACTCTTCATCTTCATATAAACTTTCTCTGCACCACAAACAGTAGGAGTGTTAGTTTGATTTAAAAGTCAAATATATGAGCATGCAGACAAGTGAAATTGATCGCGCCATTCTTCATTATGAAGTACAAAAAATGAAACAACAAAACATAGTATTATTGAAAGAAAACAAGACACTGTAAATACCATGACAAAACATGGGTGGACATTGACAATTTAGAAGAGAGTTCAGAAAGTTATATAAGCAATTTAAAGGAGCCTTTGACAAATTAGTGCAGTTTAACCACAATCAACAAACACAAAACAAGATCTGCTATTAAATTACAGATTGTACAGTCACTATTTATTCAGATAGATATAGATTGACTGGAAGTATAAACACGGATAAAAATACAAAAGAAATTTTAATTAGGACTTCTTATTACTCAAATAGGACCCCATATGTAAGTAAGTGAATTAAGTTTAAAAGAGTTTTCATTGTAATATATTTCAAAGTTTAGGATGCATTCAAGACTATTAAAACCAAAAAAAAATAACTGATTTTTTGCTATCCTTTTCTTTTTCAAACACATCAACACCGAGAGATTCAAAGTGTGTAATCCAAGAATTCTCATATATAGTTCCCTTTGTCCCTTGCTTGAAACATTTGACGAGAGCTCACCAAAGCACCAAAATCCAATTCAGCCACCTTAAACAAAAACCCATAACACGCTAAATATGTGGATAAACTAAGTGTCAAAACTATGATTATACGCAAATCGGATTCCAGAAAAAAAAAATAAAAATAAAAACTTCATACCAAACTTCCCAACAACATATGGTTACGGCCCTTTTCAGAGATACACAAAACCTAAATCCCCAATTCTAAGCAGGGAGACCTAATCAACCAAAAAAAAAGAATAACTAAAATTGATTTCTAAATACGTCGCACAAACTTGCAGAAATTACTGACTAAAGAGTGAAGGCAGGGCTTACATAATCGGGACAGAAGTCGAGATCTCGGGCCAGAAATAGTCCACGAAGGCGTTGAGGTTGGAAAGGGCGTGCAGCTTCAGCGCCGGATGACTTTCATTCAACATCGCCAGTAGACCGCCCGCTGAACTCACCATTGTCGCCGCCGCAGCCATTGTAGATGGCCCCGATCTAGTGCTGGATAAGGGTAGGGTTTATGCAGAAAATCTGGAAACGACAGGACCAGGGATGATTTTCAGAGTACTCTGGTGGGCACAACAAGAAGTCGAGGAGAAATGGAATGGCGTAGTGATTTCGAATCCAAATGAAATTGGGAGGCCTTCAATTCGCGTTTTTATGCCCTGCCCCGATTCGATGGATGGATTTCTTGGAAGAAGGGCAACTTCCTGTACACCAAGTTTTGCTTATATTCTATTTTTCGCCTTTATATATATATTTTTTTTATTCAAAATAGAGTTTGTTTGTTCATGCGTATTTAAAAAATAACATAAAAATAATAAATATTTGTAATATATTATTCTTGTCTTTTAAACTTATTTCTCTTTCTTTTCATTTAAATTTATTTTAATATATCATTTTTTTTCTTTTTTTTCTTTTTTTATTTTTATTATAAAAAAAATATTATTTTTATTTATTTTTTTAAAAATTTTGTATCCAATCAAATAGATATATTTTTACCCGCCAAAAGAAGAAAGTATTTTGCTTTTAAATATATTTTGTTACTAGAGTGAATCTTGAACTAATCAAGATTAAATTATATCAAATATATTATAATACAATTCTAAAATTTATTACTGTGTTCATAGCATATTGTTTGTTAATAAACATTGTATATTAATAAACAAAAACAATATTAAATATTACTTTACGCAATTCGTTATTTATATTAATATAATTCAAATAAATATAACCAAAAAGAGCACCTGTTTTAATTCAATTATAATATTTCTTATTTGAAATTTTTTATAAAATATCTATTTGATTTAATTTTATTATTTCTAAATTTAAGTGAAGGATAAATTTTACTTTAAAAATATTTAAATATAGCTAATAAAAGTATTCTATAAAAAATAAAATAAAAAATAATAATCATAAGAATTTACTATTTATATTTTGCTAGCATATTTTTGTATATTGTCATTTGGTACCACATGTATACTTACATATATATATATATATATGAATATTGCGGCGCTATACTATTTTTTATCTTCTCATTTCATAGTATGGTTTTTAATATGGATTGTGTGGACGTTTTCGGTATTTTACTGTCCTTTTTTCTGATGATAATTATAATTTATGGGTTGAATTCATAAAAAACTTCTTGATTGGTAAAAGATTATGACGCTATGTTACTGACGATTTTACTGCACCGGTTGTTCCTATTGTCATCTCTGCGGTACCTCTCACCAATAAGGAGCTTATGGATTATCGGAATTTCTTGGATAAGTGGGATCGTAAGATCACATTACTCTTACTTGGATACGGAATATCTCTTCCAAGTCCATTCATATTCAACTTCGCCGGATGAACACTATAAAAAAAATTTAGGATTATTTGCAGCATCAATATCAGGCCAGTGGGGGTATGTATTATTATCAGCTTCTTGGGTTGTTGAATGCGTTGATACATTACTCGAACCAGGATATAATAAGTTCTTTTCTACTATACAGTTTATGTGGGATCGCATTGATGAAGCAGATATACAAATTGAGCACTTTCGGTTGATTCAGCTATTGATGAAGCTTGCTTCATAATATATGATTTTGTGTGTGCTTCTTTGCTTCATCGGCATCCCTTGTCTTCCTTTAAGATAGTGATGACGGAGATTTTGCTTGAGAACACCCGTCTCAAAATGTTCAAAACTCCTACCCTTGCTTCAGCCTTGGTAGTTTCCTCGTCCACTCCTCATCACCGAGATACTCGCAAGGATGCCTGCACTTCAGTATGATAAATGTCACAGTTGCCCGAATGCTGATCATCTTTTTATTCACTACTCTAAGGTTGAGTGTCGCTACTGTCATCAGAAGGGTCACATCCATCGGCATTGACCGAAGAATCCCAAGGCTAGTCAGTCTTCTTCTTATGGCTTTTCCTTTGCCATTGCCGCTGCCACTAGTGTATCACAGTCGCCTCGGCCACCTTCCACCCTTGAGGACTTTTGCCACATGCTCATTCAGTATCTACCGGTCCACTTTTCTTTAACATCGATATCAGGTAACAACACTTGATATATTGATTTTGCTTGTTGTAACCACATGACACCTGATCATCGCCTTTCACATTCCTTCCAACCTATCACCTCATCCCCTCCTATATTTACCGTTGATGGCACCTCCATGCGCATTATCCATAATGGCCATATCTCGTCCCCTCACCTTGATGATGTTTATGTCATTCCCAAATTAGCCCTAAACCTTGCGTCTATCTGTCAGTTGGTTGAGTGGGGTCTTACTTTAATTTTCTCTTCTAATGGTGTGCAGCTTCAGGACACGCAGACGGGTCAGACACTTGGGACGGGTAACAAGACATGCCGCTTGTTTGAGCTTGACCACCTTCGCCCTCGCCAAACACCATCCATTTTTGCTGCCGTCTCCCATTCATCTTCTTATTATTGGCACCTCCTTCTCTAAACTCAAGTCTCTTGCCAATACATGTGTTTTAGGTTCAGTTCATTTTGAGTCTTTTGATTATTTGCATTGAAAACTTAGGAAACAACCAGCTTTACATTTTTTGAATAACTTGTCTATTGCTGATAAACCATTTTCTTTAGTACTTTATGACATTTGAGAGCCCTCTCATGTTGCTACTCTTACTGGGTTCGTTAGTTTATGATTTTTACTGATGATTACTCTCAATTTACTTGAATTTACTTTATGCAACACCGGTCTAAACTTACCTTCATTTACTCTACTTTCGCTAAAATGGTGCAAACTTAGTTCTCGTGTCCTATTCGGACTCTTCGCACTGACAATCCCCTCGAATATAATGATTTTGTCCTTCTTAGTTTTATGTCCACCTAGAGTACTCTTATCCAGCGGTCTTGTCCCTACACTTCTCAGCAAAACAGTAGGGCAGAACGTAAGCATCGTCATATTTTAAACATTGTTCAAGCCATGTTATTATATGTATCTTGTCCAGATTGGTTTTCGGATGATGCTGCTTTTACTGCTGTTTATAATATTAACCGTTTGTCATCCTCTGTCCTTCAGGATACCACCCCTTATGAGAGGCTCTTCCTCCACACACCTGATTACTCTCATCTTCATCATTTTGGTTGTGTTAGTTTTGTTCATCTCTCTCCTCATGAACGAAACAAATTAGAGCCACACACCCTTTTGAGTTATTTTATGGGGTATAGGGTAGAACACAAAAGCTATCGATGTTGGGATCCTGCATCGAATCGTCAACGTATTTCTTGGGATGTTACCTTTTGGGAGCATAATTTATTTTTCTCTGAGTCTAAATTTTTCATTCCCTTTCAGTCAGAGTCCCTATTCTTTGTCTTGGATTCCTCTTCTCCTTCTGCAGATCCCGAACCCTTGTTTGTTTCTGATGGTCTATATGTTGTTGATCCACCACCAGCTGACCCCTTTGTGTTTCCTGAGTCTGTGACCGATACTTCGGAAGCTCCAGTTCCTGCCGCTAGTGATCGACAATCCACCCGTGTAAGTCTCCCCCCGCTTATTTACTTGATTGTCATTGCCATTGTATCTCACCATGAACCCAAGACCTTTCGTGAGGCAAACTGTGATCCCTTGTAGCGCGACACTATGTTTGAGGAATTGCATGCTCTTGAGAAGACTGACACGTGGGATATCATCGATCTCTCTCATGATAAGAAATCTATTACTTGTAATTAGGTGTACAAGAAACTCACTCTGATGGTTTTGTTGAGCACTACAAGGCTCGCCTTGTAGCCAAGGATTTCTCGCAGGAGTACAACATTGATTATGAGGAGACATTTGCTCTCGTTGCTCACTTGACATGTGTCCGTTGCCTTTTTGTTGTTGTAGTTGTTCACTGTTGGAAGCTCTTACAATTGGATGTGAAGAATTCATTTCGTTATGGGGTTTTTCTAAGGAAGTCTACATGACTCCTCCACCTAGTTCAGATTTTTCAGGGAAGGTATGTAAGTAGCGCCGTGCTCTTTATGGACTGAAGCAAGACGCCCCAAGCTTGGTTCACCAAGTTTAGTGTTGCGCTCTTTTAATATGGCTTTTCTGCATCTACTTATGACTCTGCGCTCTTTATTCATCGTTCTTTTGTGGGGATCATCATTCTCTTATTGTATGTGGATGATATGGTTCTTACCGGAAACGACAACTATAGTATATCCAATCTGCATACCTATCTCCATCGACATTTCAAAATGAAGAGTCTTGGTCAGCTCCGCTACTTTTTCGGTCTTGAGATCTTTGACGCTCTAGATGATATCTATCTATCTATCTCAGGCGAAATATTCCTCTGACCTCATATCTCGTTCAGGCCTGACTAATAGCCAGATTCCACCCTTTTCGAGGGGAATTGCCGACTTACTCCTCTTGTTAGCACTCTACTAGAGGATCCCTCTTGCAATCGGAAGTTGGTAGGATCTCTGATCTATTTTATGGTTACTCGCCATGACATAGTTCATGTCGTTCATGTTGTTAGTCAGTTCATGACTAACCTTCGGATAGTTCACTAGTTGTTGTGTTGCACATCCTTTGCTGTGTCAAGGGTACACTTTTACATGGTCTTCACTTTTATGCAAACTCTCTATTGCTCCTTGCTGGTTTTTCTGATGCTGATTGGGTAGGTGATCCCACCGATTGTCACTCCATCACAAGTTATTGCTTTTTCTTGGGGAATTCCCTTGTTTCTTGGCGTTGTAGAAAACAGACACTTGTTTCTCGCTTTAGTGCAAAGTCTGAATATCGTGCCCTTGCGGATTCAACTTCAGAGCTTCTTTGGCTTTGTCGGCTTCTTACTGATCTCAGGGTTCCTTAACATTCTTCCACTTCCCTCCATCGTGACAGCATGAGCGCGATCCAGATCTTCCATAATGATATATTTCACGAGCGCAGTAAGCATATTGAGATTGATTGTCACTTTGTTCTACAACATGTTCGTGTAAGTACTGTTCACCTATCTCCTGTCTCTTTTGAGGATCGGACTGCGGATATCTTTACAAAGTCCCTCTTCCAAGGCATGTTCTCCACGTTGTTGAGCAAACTCAAGTTGGATTCTACTTTACCGCCTTGAGTTTGAGGAGAGTGTTAGTATATTTTTGTATATTGTCATTTGAAGGCCACATATATACCCATATATATGAATATTGTAATTATATTTTTGGTTAATAGTGAAATTTATATTTGTCCGCAAATATCCAAATACATTTAAGTTGAATCAACTAAATAATTGCCAAAAACACCATTTATCTTTCTTTGTAAGGCAAAGAAACACCTAAAACTATTATTATTATTATTATTATGGGCAACAAAATATTGTTTCAGCTTCTTTTGTAAGACATTAAAGACACTTGCGTAGGCTATTTTTTCATATGGGATAGTTTAATATTTGCATACACTGATTTTAATGTAAATATTTTACCTTTAATTAATTAATTAATTTCCAAATAAAAAATAAACTAACACACTCAAATTATATATAATATTAATATTATATCTTAATAAAATTTGATGTAAATAATTTTTTAATATTATTACTACTAATAAAAAGATACATTTAATCGTATACTTCATGATTTAGAAAACAATTAAAAAAATACAAATAATTAATATGACCCATAATACCTAATAATTTATATGACCCATGATACCTCAGTTTGGATTCAAGAATCGGTATGTTAACTTAAGTGTTTTTAGGTAAATTGATTTTTTTTTTTGTATTTTGTATGAAAAATTATGTTGGTAATATAAAAAGTAATATTTTGTATTGAATGATTGAATTTTTATGAGTGAATAATATATGTATTGTATTAATGTGTGTATATTTATAATTTTTTTTAATAATATTTATAGGGAATTATTTCATTAGAAATGCTAAGTGAACAGATTGAATATTAAATACAATAGTCAATGAAAATTTAGATAAAATAGTCCCGTAAATTTTTGCACACGTGTCGGACACATGGATAATTTTTATTTTATTTTTTAAATAAAAATATATAAAATATAAATTGAAAATATAAAATATATAGAAAAATAAAATTAAAAATATAAAAAATTAAAAAATTAAATAAAAAAATTATCCACATGTCCGTTAAGTCAACGCTACGTGGTCACTACGTGGATAATTTATAATTTTTATATTAAAATATAAAATATAAAATATAATTAAAAATATATTAATATATAAATTAATAAATGTCACTTGGCACTGATTTGACGGACATATATGGATAATTTTTAATTTTTAATTTATTTAATTTTTAATTTTTAACTTTTATATTATATATATATTTATTTTTATAATTGTAATTTTTATTTAAAAAAAATAATAAAAATAATTTGGGCACGTGTCAGCCACATGGCGCCGACATGGCCGACACGTGTCCGTTAGCATGTCATGTAGGTGCTTCATAGACATTGAAGACTAAATTGCAAAATTTTTTCACTTACGAAACTATTTTAAGACAACCTCCAATTACAAGATTAAAATGATAAAATGATCGATTACGGGATTAAAAAATTACCCTATATTAAATATTAATTTTTTAAGATGATAAAAAATATGTATATATTATATCGTTACTTCCAAATAAGTTTGGTCTCCGAGAAATAATTAACACTCAACCTGATTAGGTGACAGACCAGCCCAGATAACCCGATCCGGCCCAAAACATGCTCACAGACGAAGATGTCCAATTCAGATAAGAAAATATGAGAGTCTAATTAGGGATAAGGAAATATTTAGAGAACTGAAAAATTTGTTCCTAAAATAGTTGAGGGGTCGAGAAAAAAGGCGGTGCAAATAAATTTATAGCTATATAAAGAAGATGCCAAGATTCTAAGGGCATCATCATCGTATCCGAACCATCACAAGAATTTAGCTCTCTTTCCTTTATTTTTCAAGAATTTTTTCAAATATTGTTTCAAGATTCTTATTACTTTTCAATTTCCTAATTCAATTAATAACAACATTTGTCTGTTCTTATTGTTTCTTTTCATCGTTAGATATATTTCATTCCAAAAATCCTCTAATTAGTTTTCATAATAGTTAAAGACATGATTTTTCTTTTTTTTTAAATTTTTTATTGTGGGATTGAGTCACGTACTTTTTTGAGTCTGCGAAATCTGATTTGATATTGATACTGACCGACGTAAATCGATTAGGCTGTTGACGTCGAATTTTCAACGATAACAAATTGGCACGTCCACTAGGACTCTGACAAGTCTCACATTCTATACAATTGAGAAATCGAAAATTACCTTCTCCGAATAGCACCAAACTTCATTGCCATATGTTTCTGGAGAGATGACGCATGACGAGTCTTCCGCAGCTCCGGGAGGCACAGAAAAAATGGTGACAATTTCGACCAGCGTCTTGCACATCAACATTAGGTTCGTGGGGAAATCCAACACTACCAGAAATTTGTTTATTTTCCTCGGAATTAGTTTTGGAATCAATTCCGAGTCTGTCAAAAAATATATATAATAAATTACTTAATTAATATATTTTTATTTACATTAATCACGTAAATTCTGAAACTAAAAGTTTCGGTAATTTAAATAGGTTCGGAAATTTTGAAACTTTTTATTAATCTTGAACCTATTCTTGAGAAACTGAGGTGTTGAGGTTTGAGAATCCATGACCTCATGATCACAAATCCAATCTTTGCAGCACCAGATCATTCCTTACCTGACTATATAGTTATTATTTTCTTTTGAGGAAATGTGAAAAAAAAAATAGAACACACCCAAAATCATTAATGTATTAAATAATAAAATAATACGGTAAAATACATTTTTTGTCCATTTTATTCACTAATATGTCAATTTTAGACCTTCTATTTTTAAAATAATAATTTAGTCTCGTATTCATTAAATTAGTTCAATCTTAGTCCTTAATGTTATAATGTAATATTGTCGGTGAATAATAATTTTGATTATATTTTTATTTAGATATGTATTTATAATTTATTTATTAGGTAAAAATATATGAATAATAATTGATTAAATTCTTAAAATTTTAAAACAATTTAAATAATAAACTTAATAAGTAACTAAAATAAATTTAGAATTAATAAATAAATTATAAAAAAATTGATGACCTAATTAATTAGGTAATTTAAATCAAATACGGTATACATAACAAAAATTACAAAATTTAAAATATAAATATACAAAATGATACTATTATAGGAGTATTATAACTATTATATTTTTATACTATTAATAATTATCTATTTTTATGAATATCTATATTTAAAATATTAAACAAATAAACCGTAATTATAATTCTCTATAAATATGCACTTAAACAAATAAACTCTAATTCCCGTCTCACCGCGTCAGCTGCCGCACGGGTTCTTCCCAATTCTTCCTATTCCCCAAAACTTCGGGTGTGTTTCTCATTGACTGTGTAAGTATAGGGTGCAGAGCCTACAAGTCGTCAGAGTGTACAAGTCGTCAGTAGTTCTGTAATTTTTTTTTTAAATTTATAAAATGATGTGTATGGCTGTGCAAAAATATGATAAATTAAATTTTTACATTATTTTAATAAATATAATTTAATAAAATATATACAATATACATATTATTTTATAAATAATAAAATTTTATATAATATAAATGAATAAAAAAATATAAATATTTATTTATTATCAATATAAATTAATATTCAAATAACACTATTATTAGTTTTATAAATTTAATTTAATACATATTTACATCAGTATTTTTAATTTAATCAAGCTCTCTTGCTTGAACTTTGGGATCACCTAAGATTATTCTCATCTCTATACATTTGAACGCCTCCAATTATCTTTCTTGGAGCCATAATGTTGGAACATCCCTCATGGTCAAATACTATGGAACATTTATCTTTGATGTAAAATGTTTAGAGTGCCTGTGATGCAGTGATCAAAGCTTGAATCAACAATTCTATCTCAACAGAGCTGCAAGAAGGGTTCGTGTATGTTTCTTCAACTTGTGAACTATGGCCAAGGGAAAATGAAAAGTTTTGGAAGACGAATGAAGTACTTATTTACCAACAGAAAGATAATATCTTTAAACTCAAACAATTCAATGATTCTCTTACAGTCTATTATACTAAGTTGCATAAACTTATTGATGAACTTTGAGTAGTTGAACTTGATGTTAGATGTAATTGTGGACATTGTAAATGCAATATGAACTTTCGTTTAACTAAAAACTTTGAGAGGAAATACATAGTCTAGTTTCTTATAAATTTTGATGAAATCTACTAACCTATTAAAAAAAAAAATTATAATGATGGAATATCTTCCATCAGTTAGTAAGGCTTTCTCTATGATGTACCAAGTTGAAAGACAGAATGCAACAATTATGAATTTTGATTTGAAAGTTTTTAATGTGACTCAAAAGACAACTAAGCTGCTGCTGACAATTATAATAAGAAGACATTGAAGAAGAGAAATGTGATAATTGATAAAAAAAAAAAAAAAAAATTAAACATGTGAAGTGTGCAAGAGAAAAGGACACATTAAGGAAACATGTTTTAGAATTCATGGTGTACCTGACTTTTTCAAGGAATTGAATGAAAAAAAAAAAAAAGGAAGAATCCAATTAACATGATTCTTGAATCTTTTGGGACAGGATATAAAAAACTTGATGAAGAAGGATCTACTAAGGATGTACAGATTATGATAAATGAGCTTCATAAAATAATTCAAACTCAATAAGCAACCGAGAACCCAACCGAGTTTGCTTATTCTTTCATAAATGAGCTTCATAAAAAAATATCCTTATTCTTTCAGTAATAACAAAAGAATATCAAGTATGTAT